ACACACATGAAATAGACAAGTATTGCCCATGGTTGTTGTATTTTAAAAAGTGAATAAAAATTTAAGTCAAAGTCAACAATTGATTTTAACTACACTTTTTATTATTTTTTATCAGAATTTACAAAATAATCTAATTTTTAACTATGCCAAACAGAGGCATTATACAACACCAATAAATGATTAAAAATATATACACACAGATACATTTTATTTTATTTCTTTCGCTAAAGTTTCAACGCTGTGTAAATAATTGAAATGCACACACATAATTACATGTGCTTTACATTATTGTCCATTATTTAGTGAGATAATGAAATCATCATTATTATCTTAATACTACTAGATTAATCATACTATGACTTATTTTATCCACTACTTTGTCTATTCCATAGAATTGAACTTTAAATAAATATATAATACTTAGCTTTGTAGTGTGAAGAACAACTCATCTTTGCTTGATTTGCAAATGTCTATTGTTTATTTAAACTAGACATAATAATCATCAATATAAATTGTAATACTATATCGACAACTATAATCACTCCGTTAATTGTTCAAATTTGTCTTCGTAAAAACAGTCTTGTTAAAGATATGTGAAGATTTGGGAAATAATTTAAATTTTATAGTTATAACTACAACAGTTTAAGAATACATAGTCAATATTAACATATTAGTTAAAAATAATAATAATAATAATAAAATGAAGTGATACGTGTGACTGTGACCGTGACCGTGACCGCTTGATTTAAAATAATAATAATAATAATAATGTCTGATTATTGAAATTAAAACTTAAAAACATAATTTCAGTAGGTAATTTTCTCAAGAAATTTTTACCGCCTTCCCATCTATGATGTATCTAGTTTGTCATTTTTAACGTAACTACTTATTATATACTTCATTGTCACGGTAAAGATAGAATTGCTTACAAATATAACATCACATAAATTGGCAACCAATACCATGTGGTGTAGTTACAAGTTTGCATCAGACTACAAAATTTTCCTAATAACGTGCCTTTGAATCTGCATCGAAATATTGATAACGGAGAGTGCATGATTTCAATTAAATTGGCTTTCCTAGTCATAAATCTTACCTTCCACGGCAAAATATAATTAAAGATTTTTTATTTGTCCTTTTGGCCTCTAAAAGATTGATCTTTCGGCAATTCAATGAATTAATAAGAAATTATGTGCTTAATAATATTATCTATAAGTGGTCCATGAACGATCACTTGCATAAGTTCCTCTCAAGCTTACAATTTTTCATCATTTTTTTTTTTTATAAAATAAGTGGTAACTTGCATATTGAGGAAGTCTAAATTGTTTGGTCTAAACTAAGGAAAAAACTCGTAAAAATTGTTGACCTTCAAAAATAGCCAATAGGTGTCGTTGAAGGACAATGTGCACGTGAGCGTGCTTCGTAGTGTGTTAACTGTAAAATAGATATTGTTGTGAGAAAAGATGAATAGTAGGCAATGGAAGTATTGTATTTCCCTCTTTGTATTATTTTTTAGATTTTTTCAATTGATACAAGTATTGCCTATTTATAGTAATTAGGCCGACGTGGTCACCATTGGATTGGGGATCCATGTGGTCTGATCTGTCGACCCTAACTGTTACATAATTACATTGATAGACATTCGACAAGAGGTCAACCACTCTATAAATTAGGTTGACATTCTTGACACTCCTTAATTGCACGTCACATCACTCAACTCTGAAGACGTGCTTGTTCGACCCTCTTTCGGTTGTAAAGGACTCCGGATAGTAGAGGGTGAATTATTTTGGCAAAACTTAGGGTGTGTTTGATTACATTTATTTTCCATGGAAAATATCAGTTTTCCATCCAAATTTTCACTTTGAGTGTTTGATTGCTATTTTTTTCCATGGAAAACATTTTCCAACTTTTGAAAATATGCCTTATTTTCCTTATTTTTAAGGAAAATATTTTCCTTGGCTAGAGGTGGTTTTTATTTTCCACAAAAGATGGAAAATATTTTCTTTTCTAGGTAATATTTTCCATGTCAATCAAACACACTCTTAGTGCAACAACCTTGACACTTTATTTGACAGTTTCAGACATTAGTCCCTTCTGCACCAATTCTTGGGTGCTTGCCATGTGTATGAATGTGAGGTATCCACATGGACCTCTCTATATTGATTAGTAACAAAAATAAATACAAAATCGCAAAGTTTTGATAAGAACAAATTCCAATACAAATATCTATTACTCGAGTTTGTAAAAATAAATGTTATAACAATCGAGTTGAAGTTGCCAATTTAACTGGAATAATAGGTAATTAGTTCGATTTATATCTAAAAGAAATAGATATTTAGAATCCGTTAAAATCTCCTAAAATCAATCGGTATTGGTTCACTTCTAGATTTTTGACTTTACCTATTTATTTTCATTTTTTTAACAAGTGTTCGGCCTTTAAATCCTTTACCTCTTTCAGGGTCAATGCTTAAACCAGTTTTTCAAATAATTGTAAAATCTGAAAACTGAAACTGGTCGAGCAAGATAATACGATAGAGGATTTAGTGTTGTACTTATACCTTTACCTTTTTTGTCAAATCTTATCCTTAATCCTTCATTAATTGACATATTTTGGTTCATAATAATGATTTGTGTCCAAATATTTTGCTAACGTGCTTTTAAATGAATAACAAATATTCTGTAATATTATTGTATTTATTTTGCCTTTTTCTTATTTAAAAATCTATAGGCCAAATAAGTATTTCTACACACTCTAATGAACTTATTGGACAAAAAATATTACAAGGATAATAAATGTTAATTAGTAAAAGGTTGAAGAGAAGGATAAGAGAAAAAGTTGAATAAATAAGTGTAATAATAAATAAAGATACAAACATCTTTAATAAATTTAAATGTAATGGAACCAAAGAAAACTATAGTAGCAACAAGCTTGCTACACGTATAGGAAAATTTTTCACATAACATTTATAGGAAAACTGTTGTTTCTAGAGTTTGAATTCACTCCTTCGAAAACAATCCGACAGAATTACCTGAATGCAAGAATTGATCAACAGGATCCGAAATTGTAATTCGAGCCCACCGACTTCACGATGTGTCCTTAAAACGAATTTGCTGCCTTCAATGGTGCTACAGGCGTCCAGCAATCGTTTCCCAGGATAGAACGAATTTTTCGTCTCCTACGGAAGCAGCACTGCAGTCTGTAGGAGTTCCAACGAACTCAACGAAGTGTTTTTTCTATGTAACTACAAATACACCCTCAAATAATAATAATAATAATAATAATAATAAAATAACTCTTGCCCTCCCATCTAAACTCTATATAGCATTTTCTCCTACCTAAAATCCTTGATTGAATACTAGACGTGACAATCTTTTTGTGAGATGCTTCTTTCTTGAACTATGTCTGGCATTGTTTAATTCTGCGTAAAAAATATATTATTCTTTTTTGGTATGTTTTACTATTCAAACATGTATAAGTTATAACTCAATCATATCAGATCTATTCACATGTTATCATAAAACAAAGCACACTCAGAATGGCAATGTTATATAGTGGGGGGGGACACACACATAAGATTGCACTATGCACAGAAGGGATCAAACCACCGTCCCAAACCTATCATGCTATTTTGTGCTATATTAGAACAATATGCTTCAACTTGTGGGCACTTTTTGCAAGAAAAAGTGTGGCCTCCATATAAATTGCGCCAAAATCTATGGTCCCACCTTCAACTTTCAACCCTAGGAAAGATGGAAATCAGGCCACCAAGTGAGAAAGAATTGGATTTATATGCAATTTGTGACTTGTCACAAGCACTAGGACCAGGACTTTTGAGTGTATTCTTGCCATTAAAAACCATCATTCTTTTATTTTATTAAGGCTGCAGGTATTTCTACCCATCCCTGAACAATGCTTCTCTGTATTCCTGTTAAATTGTCCACTCTCATGGACAGTGCCTTCTGAAATTAGGCCTCAACTTTTTGAAAAATTTACGAACGAGTCAAGTGGGAGAGGATTAACAAGAAGTATGAAACTTTCTTTTCTTTGATCCAATAATGGAAGAGAGATACTAAGCCTCCGTTTGTTTCCCATCTTTTCCTCATTAAAATGAAAAATATGACCGTTATTCATCACATCAAGCCACTAAATTTAAATTTCTACATCTTGTATGAAGCCCATAACGATTATATTTTTCATTCTCATTCTTACAAAAATAAGAAACAAACGCCCCCTAAAGAAGTTTACTTCACATACTCACAAGTATACAGAGTAAAATCATCTCGCCATGTGCTCGACTATCGTAATGAAATCCTTGTAAGAGCTACCAACGTCACACATGGCACTAGCGCCCCCCTTTGTGTTAATACTTTCAATTTATCATGGGTTCATACAATCCTTTGACAGCAAAAAATATATCAAAATTATCAAATTGTCCTGCCGTTTTCATCCATCTTCAAGCGTGCCAAATGAATCGTCATATTTAGATGGGAACGAGTTTCTATCATTTTCTCTCTCATTATTTATTATTATTATTATTATTATTATTATTATTATTATTATTATTATTATTATTATTTGGGACCCCTTGAACAAACGTACATCAACTTTGCCACTAGAAGTCTTGAACAGACCTTGAATGGGAAACCTTGTTAAGCCATAATTTCAAACATGAAAGGCAATATTAAGCAAAACCACTCGTCATTCACCATTAATGGGAAAGCTAAGAATACTTGACAGAATATACTTAAAAAACTATGCTCCATAAAAGTCAATATCTTTGAAGAGCCATGGCCATCTTGGTTTCCCATTGACCCGTCTAGGTCAATGAACTTGTTTTCAACTCATCCATTAGGGGTTCAAAGGGCCACGAGAAGTACTGAGCTGGCTCATTTTTAGTTTTTTTCCATTTTTTTTTCAAGAAAATTCATGAATATCAAAAGCAAAAGGGTAAATTAAAGTATTAAACAACCCTCCTAAATTAAATATATAAATAAAAATAATGGAACGACTCGGTCCTATTTGATACCCATATCCATTTATCTGAAGGTGTCCATACGAGCTCAAATTCATGATCTTGTTCATTAAGATATTGTGTACAATCACAAATGCTTCAAATAGAAAACAGAGCTACGTGCTCCTTGTACATCATAGACTTGCCAAGAATCAGATGAGATGATGATGTCAAGCGTTCTGTTCTAAGTTCCAAGTTAGCAAAGATAAAAAATAAAAAAAAGGGTTTGGAGATTGTAATGCATCGTCTGATCGAAACAAGTCAATCCCTGCCAAAGAGACAAACAGTAGGCCACTTTTTACGAGTGCTATACATTTACCTCACAAGAGGTATGAGCAGGTACTCTGCGTAAAAGAGCTGCACAACAGAAGAAGAATGTTACAGCTACGGATGATTCAACAAATGAGTCAAATGAAAGTTATTTGGTGCTCTCTACCCCTGACAGACAGTATGGGGGCGGGGGTGGGTGCGCAGGTGTAATTATAAGTTACTCCAATAATATGTCACATCATACTGAACTCAAAAGTGCAAGCACCGGACAGTAAAGTTAAGAAAAAATGCCTCTAAAATATTTGGTTAAGCAGGCGTCAAGTTGATATGGATTTCAAGAGTCGATTATACATAATAAATATAAGCAAGATCTTGTGAAACTGTAATACACAAGCTAAATCCTAAATGATGAGATATTTTATACAGAAGATGTAAGGGCAAATAAAATTCTATCATAAACTGAGTTTACAAAAGAATTAGTGCCAAAAATTAGTTTTTGAAGTTATTGCATTGTATCCAGTAAAATAAATTACCTTCCATATGAACATGTAAAAGGATGTTATTGCAGTCTTGCTCTTCAAATCAACTGAATTGGCGCGATTCCAAAGTAATGAAGCCAAAGCAATATGACCAATAACCTAAACAAATGCAAAGAAAGGGTTTAAATTTTAAACAGATGTCTGGTGTTAAATGTATAAACTAGCTTTAGTGCATTTGTTCTTGTTACTACACATAATACCCAGATGACGAGCATGCCCATCTAGTAGTAGCTTTCGATTTCAGGTAGGAAGTATTCTGAGCTCTAGAAGAGATACTAGTCTCAATGTCTGCATTTATTAAAAAAATTCTATTTTTTCTGCAAATTATTTTGTTAATTTTATCTTTACATCTAGATTTTGGGAACTTACTATAAAAAAAATTGACCTCAAATTGTTATGGAAGCCTATTGCATCATCAAATATAAAGAGTTATTCCTTTCTATTCGTAGGACACACGCTACATCATATTCTGAATGACTAAACTCTTGAATCATGTATCATTCGCAGTAATAGATAGGATTGGACAGTACATTGAACAAAATTTTAACTTCTTTTCATAAGTTTCTTTTTCTTTTTTCTTTTTTTCTTTTTTATTTTTTTGGTTCTTTAATATTGTCTAGTATTATACAATCCACCTTTCCAAACATGTTATTGCAGTTTCTCTGCAAATTGAATGTAACAACCCTTTATTGTGAATATGTACAATATTTGAAGAAGAGTGAATTACTGTTATCCATTTGCTCCAGATGCTGGTTGATGTTACTCCCACTAACAAAGCAACAAGATAAGCCATCTCAAGAAGCGAAATACAAATCCAAAAGACCTACAAGAATGACTCAGTGCAATCAGAGAAAATACACAGTAAAGAAGCTTGTTCTAGAATTGAATTTGACAATAACCGGTAACTAACCCTCTGCTGGCCCAATCGGACGGTAAAAGATCTAATACCATATATCTTGTCCCCAACAATATCAGGTATGTCCTGCAAAATCAATCTTTTATGTTAATAATAAACAAATTTCTCTAGATGCAATACTTCACATAAGCACAATCAAGCAAAGGAGGGATGTATTGCCCATAAAATATATAGGAAAGTTTATCTGATTTTATAGTTAAGATATTATTATCTCTCCAGCAAAAAGTTCATTTGATAGTTGGGTTTTGAATCACCCAACAGAAACAGTGATATGGTTCAAAGATTTCATAGAACTCATGATGGCTCTGTACATTAACTTCACTTTTCTGGAAGTCAAAAATACCAAAAACAGTTTGATATTTTCAGCTAGAGAAAGACTTAGATGGTGTTCAACAATGAAGCCTTAATTTGAATCTTATTTTCTACGTTGTTGAACTCCATTGTAATTTACAATCTAGTCCGAATTCAAGTTACGAATTAGAACACTCTGCCCTGTAATTTTATTGCTACACTAGTTTCTGGACGCCATTTAGTTTTCCAACTTCACCTTTCCATGTGGCAATACTCCTCCATGCATTTGCACGAAGTTTAAGACAAAATGTATACTTATGCAAAATACACACTGAGAAACTAAAATTGCAGAAGTTTAGAAAAAAAAAAAAAAAAAAAATGATTATAAAAAGATAATTATTCTTCAAATCATATCTCCTACGTCTCAAGAAATGTAGTTCACTTGAGAACAAAGGGGGCAGTTGATGCGTGACAAGCATTTTGCTCTGACCATCTTCATTCACTTCAAACAATCATAAACATCAGAACATAACACGCTGAAACTGCAAACATAAAAACTACAGACCAAACTTCGTCAACCTGATGGATGATAGAACCAACCATTACTAATTCCCAAAGGTTGTTGGTCTATAAACTAGCTGAAGTTATTTATCTACGTTGATTCAATTATGACCTTTGTTGATGAAAACTGGCCACTCAATGAGATAAAGAAACCCACACTACTCCATGTTTAAGCAGTTTGACCTCTTGAACCATCACATTTAAAAGCTTAAGCTTTTAGAGAGGAAAATTTACTGAAATATAGTCTTCAATGTGCCCCTGCATGTGCAAGCTGGGTTAATTTCACCAAAGGCATGCCTAATTTTCATAAATGAATGGCAGTGGACTTGAAACCTTGCCCACTCTGAGTCCATGTTAAACCCACTTCATCAAAAAGTTTAAACTATTAGATAAGATATCTATTTATTTATTTAAGTTTAACCTTCAATAAACACCTCCACATGGAGGCCAGAAGGGGGGAGATTCAGTATTAAATCTGGCTTTTGTAAAAAAAAATCTTGTAATTCTTTAGTCTGACTTCTTTGTACAGCAGTTTTATTAGGGGTAATTTAATACACTGTACAATCATTGAAGAGTTCAAGTGCTGCATAGGGTTACAAGCACCTACTGACATTCATCATGTTATTACAAATATAGAGCAATACCCTACTCAAATTAGGTTTGCATTGATGATATAAATACACATATACAGGCATTCAATAAGAAAATCCTGCTTCCACAGATTTAATTAAAATTCATAAGATAAACATGTTCGGTGTGAAAGAAATGTAGTTTACCTTAAATAAGGCTATGACGACTGAAAAGAAGCTCATGAAGGCAGTTGCAAAAATCACAGACTTTGAAAGGACAGCTGGTCTTCCATAAACATGCATCTAAAAATTGTAAAATAAATTAGTACCTAAATGAAGCAGCAGCAGCAACAGATAACATAATCAAATATACCATAAGAAACGTGCAATCCCTTCCCAACCTCTTATTGAGGCTACAATAAATTGTAAATTGAAATTTTCACAGTCAAAGGTTAGAACTGCGATCCTAGTCAATTTTTAGGCTAGATAATACCTTTCATCCACAACCTTTAACCCTCGTTACACTTTTACCCCAACCTTTTTTTGTAAGATTTTTAACCTTAACCTTTCATTAATTAATGCCATTCGTCATCAATGACTGATTCCATGAGTCTTTGCTGTTAACAGATGCAAGTGTTATGCACGCATGGATGTGGGCTTTTAAAGCAATATTCTAAAGAAAGACAAAAAGATAATTTTTCCATAACTTTTACTTAAAAAAAAATGATAGTACGAAAAAAAAATTAAAAAGAAATTAAAAAGAATAGAAGGTGCCTTCTTCAACCCAGCGCACTCCTAACCCCTTCACCCACCCCAAAGCTTCAAAACCTCCTGCCAGCATCCACGGCCACCTCTGCAATCAATGTCTTTTTGCCCTTCGTTAGAGTATCACATGAACAACCCACTGCCTTGCATGCACAACGCTTGTGTCCGTTGAGGTTAAAAGTTTACAAAAAAAGGTTGGGATAAAAGTGTAACAAGAGGAGGAAACTTGGGGATGAGACGTATAAATTAGCCATTTTTTAAGGGGTTGCCTACCTCTTGTTATTATGTCAGAAGTATGTTCACATGGATAACTAATAATAGCAAAAAGTCTCATCTCTGATAAAAATTGGAGTTAGCAACATGAATCATTTTCACCATTCCTATTCAAGTCATTACTAGATGTACTTTAAAGTAACTAGATCCTTAACAACTATAAATATCGTGTTAGTTTTGGTCTAACGATCTCTCTTTAAATTGCTCTAGCCAATTACTCTTCTTGAGCCTTTTTAGATTGATGCAAAACATGCCTTGACGTAGTAAATAATCATGATTAGTAGTTTCCTACTACAATTGTGATTTATCTTTTCTAGTTGTGTTTATTTTTCCTAGTTCTAATAAGTTTTATCTTTTAATTCTTATTTCTTGTTTAGAATAGGTTTTCCAATTTCCTTTAGATTAGGATTTTATTTTAGTTTCCTTATATTAATAGGATTAGGGAATAATTTTTTTGCCTATGAATATAGAGCTTTTGTACACTTTTTCAAGACATCAATTATTATTCAATAACATACAAGCAAATTCTTCCAATATCCGTATTAGTTTATTACATAATTCTTATTACAAGAATTTCATAAATGCTTTCACACCATGCCTATACCGCTAAAATGTCATTTTCTGAAATTACCGCAATCAATGCCACCTCCACTTCTTGATGTAAATTCTGACTTTTTATCTTACCCATTTAGTATGATTATGCATCCACTTTAGCATCATAGCTTCTTCTGCATTCATCTTATAACAATCCTTTTTTAACACCCCAACAATCCAAACCATAAAGCATAGCAAGTTTAATTGGTCCCTATATGAATCTTCCAATCACACAGAATCCCAATACCGTCTTATGTAGTCGTCCAAAACGATATGTTGTACTTATAATTACCAAAATCAGTGCAGTCTAAAAATTAAGTCAGAGATTTCACAAGTCAGTAATATAGATAAAAATTCTGAACAAGCCTTTGGACACCATTTTCCTAAAATCATAGACACGAAAGTGATAAGCATGCAGTCAACGATCTTTTTAAACAGTCATACTAAATTTATTTACATCAAATATCATATAATAAAAGTACATCAATGTACAGAAAAATTAACACCTGGATGTGCAGAAAAAAGGCTATTTGAACAATCACCGCTCGTACAGCCAAGATGCACATTGCTGCGACAAATGCAAATCTCTTCCATCTCAAAAGTGGTAGCTGAAAAGGTACAAAAGTATTTAGTATCATTGAGGAATGTATGTGGTACTACATATAAATTGAGCATCACGATCATGATAAATATGAATATAGATATCAAAGGTTCCGTTCAAAATGATCTACATGTACCAGTAATTTTGATTTGCAAACTTTTTATACAGTAAGCCTGAAATGGCACTAACAACTGCAAAGTTGTGATAGGTATAGCCCTCTACATCTCCATAATCTAGACTTTTAAAGACTTCTTTTAAGTGACTGAGTTTTGTAGAGTTCAAGGACTTTTATTAAATTTTGTAGATTCTACAGAGTTATAAACTTTACTTTTAAAGACTTCCATAAGCTTTAATAGAATTGTATAAACTTTTATAGACATTAATTTAAAAGATTTTTATAGAAACTCCTTAAAACAAAAAAATCTTGTATATAATCGTCAAAGTACCACACTCTATAGATTTAAAACAAGTGATATAATTGAAGTCAAATCAAAACAACTTTACGAGAAAAAAGGCACTCCATGCTTATTTTAATTAAAAAAAAATCCCACAGTATGCCATTGCAACAAAAGAAAAAAAGAAAAACCACCCCTAGTAAAAAATAAAAAAATAAAAATTCAGTGATAACAGATTAGTTAACATGTTGAATTTCATTAATAAACTACAATCAACCACAATATAAGAATTCAAATACAAATTTATCTTCTTTTTAATGAAGAATGGAAAAATGATGAAAAATAAGAAAGATAAAAATGGTTGAGGGATATATTGAAGAGAGAAAATATTAATCATTTTTCACAAAAAGTTTGAAATGAATCATGGCTTTGGGTTTGTAGAAGGAAGAAGAAGAAACCAAAAGAAGAAAAAAAAAGAAGGGTTCGTAGATGGAAAAAGGGAAGGTATATTGAAGAAAAAAGAGAATCGTTGTGGGTTATTTTTTTTTTTTTTTTTTTTTTTTTTTTTCTAAGAGATTCACAAAATTGATTTTTTCTAAATTCCAATCTAAATGCATGCCAAACGTGTCCTTTAAGTCAGCAACCGAACATAATCAACAAATTGCAGGGGAAAAAGCTCATTGTATAGCATACAATTTCTACCACCCAAAATATATGCTCACGCCTCAGTGCATTATAAAGGCATCAATTACAACTTTAAAACCATTTTAATGATAGTACTCACTAAAAATGTCCTTTTGAGTTCTTTTTTTTTTTTTTTTTTTTTTACCTTGTGCTTAAAAGTTATTACATGGAGAATTTCATAAAAGTGTCATTAAGTGATTGACATTTCGAATATTCCTTAATTTTGTAGGATTTTTAAAAGTCAAGATTGAATATCACGTGACTTTTGAAGACTTTTTAAAAGTCTATTGAACAGCATCTCCAAGAAACTCTTTAAATATAAAATGGTCTATATTTTAAAAAGCCAACCCTTAAAATCACGCTCCAATAAATTCTTTAACTTAATATTTTAATTTAGACGGCGATTCTTTATAATTAAATGCATTCAAAGTATTTCAATTTTCAATGTAGGAAAATAATAAAATAATCAAAAGAAAAGCTAATTAAAATTAAAGATGGAGAAAAATAATAAATATTTTGTGAGCGAAGTAAAATTAAGGCTCTGTTTGACCCACATTCTTTATAATAAAATAAATTAATTAATTATTTAATTAATTAAACAGTGATTTGACATCGTTTCAACCACACATTCTTTAATAAAATAATATTATACACAAATCTAAAACTTTTTCTTATTTTTTTACCACGCATTTCTCATCAATACACTATTCAAAAATACATTCTTATAGAAATAATGCAACTCAAACAAGGGCTAAGTGTTATATATAAAGAGTTTGTTAGAATATTTCAAAATTTCAACTCTCTATATTATAGATACTCTATAAATGATAGTATATACTCTTTAAAAATAGACAGCATCTTCAAAATGCTTCAAGTCTAGTAAATACACCTAAACTTTCAAACACCATAAAAGTTTTTAAAAGTCTAAATTAAATACGGTAAGTAGTCCTCCAAAGCTCAAGGTTGAGAACAAAAATTAGGGGTTTGTTTGAGTCCCATTTTTTTGGAGAATAGATTTTTAAATAGTGATTTTTTGGAGAATGTGTGATTAAAAAGTAAGAAAACATTTTTTTATTTTACGTGTAGAATTATATTATTAGGAAAATGTGTTGTTGAAAATGAGTTTGAAATAAATTTTTAACGAATGAGGGTCAAACATGTGCTAAATAAATAATATAAAATGGCAAAAAGAGCGATCATGTTCGCAAGCAACCCAATGAACAATTTAGAAATCACTCTCTCTGACGTGTTTTGAGCAATCTCTTAACGGTTGAAATACACCGTGTAATCTGGAGCAAAGGTTACCATAATTCACCTCCCCTGCAATCTGTGCACAATATAGCAGCAACACTATTCTTTTTAATTACAATTTACAGGTACAATCTTGCCAGTATTTTCACATATTCTTTAATTTTTCTACCTTCCACTGAATACATTAGATTCCTCGAGAGTAGTACAACATTTTCATTTTGAAGCTTGAGAGTGTACAAACCAAGAAAATAGTTTTCCAGCATCAGTAAAAAGCTTAGAAGGATAAACACTGCTTATCCAACATGTCACATCCTTGCAGGCATGATGACATATAACACGAGACTAGTGGGGAAGCATCAGTTTCATATTTTTATTAACAACATACTGTAATAAATTGTTATGTCCAATGACATGAAGAATAAAAAATGGTGTCTATGAAAGAATGCACTCACATTGATGGAATATGCAGTTCCAAGTACAAAACTGATGAAAAGAGCCCAGAACAATGGCCACGAACCAACAATCCATCCAAGTGAAAAACTCTGTCAAATAGAAGAGAAAATCTTTGTAAGTCAAGTGATAACCGTGAATGAGCTTTCACATAGAACATACAAGTCATAGTCTCACACAAAAGAAATTATATGATTTTCCCATACGTTTTTTATTCGCTATTCTTCTATATAATTAATACATAAATGAATTCAGATGTTCAGGATTTCTCTGATTAGTTTTCCTACTTCCTTGAACCTGCCCTCATCGAATTGAGTGTCTAAACTTCCCGCATTTGGAGACAGATTAATATTTAACACCTCATACTTTCATAGTTTTGTACAAGTCTTGGTCCCTTCCCCATATATATGATTAACCAGTCATTTTCCCCTATCCCTAATTTTACGCAGAGTTTTCTTTTCCACCACTATATATGTTATTTTCTCCATCTTCATGTGCTACAGTATAATTAAAATAGTTTTTGGTAACACTTAAGGTTGGACAAAACTCTCGAAAAGAACCGGACCAGAACCGAATCGAACCGAGCCAAATAGTTTTTCTTCAATAAAATACCCGAACGTGTATTCGAATCGAGAATTGACGAGTTCGGTTCAGTTCTTAGTTCTAGACTGAGAACCGAAAAATCGAATCCCCTTAATTTTTTTAATTTATTTACTTAAATAAGTCAAATTCTTTTATTTTTTCTAAATAAATTAGCTAATAATTAATTTTGCTCAAATCCAAAATATGATTTTCCACAAGAGTACAGCCAAAAAGATATATTAGGGTGCGCTGAAATTTAAAATTTTTCAATAAACTCATGCTATAAAAGATGCTCCAGGTCACACAAGATTTAGTTTAAAATGTTAAATTCACGACGCTCATGACAAAATGCATCGAAATATATCTTAAACACTCGTAACAAAGCTTTAACAAATATATTTTTAACTAATAAAATTAAATATAGAGTATATTACTTATTTTGATAATAACATCTATTTCATGATCGAAATAAATAAATTTTTAAGTCACAAGTATAAATAAGTAATATATGAAAAATACATTAGAAAATATTTAATTATTTTTAAGCTTAATCAAACATGTGGCATCTCATATTGTTAAAATAAGTCATTTATCTTTACTTTAATCAATAAAAATTATTTGTTATATAATAAACTAATTCGATTATAAGTGAACTCTTTAAACTTAGTTAAATATATATGAAATAAAATATTTAATTTGATAACAAGTTATTTGTGTATCATGAATGTGAATAAAATAAATATGTAATTGTTGTGAAGTCTAAAATTAAATTTGAATAATTAAACGTTGGGCTTGGGTTCGGAATGAAGTTAGTTAGGCTAAACTTAATTTTTTGGCCGGGCTAAATCTCATATTCTTTTTTCATTTCATTTTGAATTTGGGCTAAATTTTCCATTTTTTAGAAGCTAATTTGCTTTTGGGCTGGCCTGGGCTCTATTTGTCTTAGATTTTCCTACTTCTAATTTTCCATCCAAACTCAACTTAATTAAATTGACCTAAATTTTACCCAAATATATTATCCTACCATAGTGTCGTTTCTACGTTTTTGAAGAAATTGAATTGGAAGCTCGACTACGCTTCTCTTCATTATTGTGAGCTCGTATCTTCCTCTTATAATTTTAACAATCAAATCTATGAATAATTCAAAAAAGAGAAGCGCAAAAGATACATATGATTGAACTAGGTTATTCTGCAAGAGCTAAGATTGAATATATCCTTAGTTGAATTAATGCAATGTTGTAAATATTAAAAAATTTAATTACTATATGGAACTCAGGAATCGAATCAAACTAAACCGAATTCGAACAGTACTATAATTAAATTTGAACCGACAAATATCCGAATATTCGACCGGACCATGTCCAACCCTGGTAAGTATATTATCTCAGTAGTTTTTATCTTTTTTTGCTATATACAAGTTCCAAATGTTAGTAGTTTTTAAGTTGCTTAATTTCTTCAATCGTTACAAGATTAAGTAATTAGAAGGAAAAAAGAAAATTAATTTGGCAACTCAACCATAGAAATAGAACTAACTTTTGGATTAGAGGGAGAATAACAAAAACCAATTCTAGATAGTAAGAGACTATAAATTCTTGAGTTGAGTTGGTACAAAATTGGTCATTTCTTATATTAATTCTCTTTTTTCTCAATAGTGTTTCAAGTACAAAAAATATATAGTCGAGCAACTCCGCAAACTCAAAGATATTAAGATCAAATCATCCTACTAAGGGTCGGACATCCCACTTCCAGAAAAAAGGGATACGAAAGAAATAGTTGTCATAGAACTTGGAAGAACTAGACCCCGAAAGCTAGCCATTGAGGTTGAAGAACCCAAACCTATTTAAACCATACAAAGGAAGCTCATACTTCCGATGTTAGATTCAAGTGCTCATACACCCCAATGGGAACCATGACAAACCACCAATCTTCCGACTCAGGGTCCACGTCGAGCAAGTGCCCATACACCCTAAGTGGTAACCGAGACCAGAAGATAAGGTACCTGCTTTGATTTTGATACCATTGTAATGGTTGGAGAGCTAAACTTCAACCAAACTAGCTAAATTCCCCTTAAAATCAACACACAATTTAAGATACTAAGCAGGGATTTGATAACCCATCTGGGATTTCATCATTTGACTAAAATTACACAGAAACAATGTAATGTAAATTGTGTTCCATTGATTGATAAGTTCTATTACAATGTAGGGATACAAGTAAAAGACAAAAATAAAAAGAAGAGAGATCGGTGGAGGAGCAGAGACAGAGAAGGAAGAAGAGAAAGAACAGAAGAAGAGGAGAAGCAGAACCTAGAAGGATAAACAGGGAAGAAGCAGGAGAAGGAGAAGAGGCTTACCAGAGGGGAGAAATGCAAAAATCAGAGGAAAGAAGAACACGAGAAGGGAGAAGAAGATGGTTTTGGGCAGCAAAGCCACAATTCAATTCAACAACTCCTCATCGTCTTCAAAGTAAAACCATATGTAGAACAAAATAACCCTGAAGGGCTTGGGCTAGCCCACTAACAAAAAAGCCCAATTAGATAAAATAACAGTAATGTAGTTAACCATGATATTCTATTTCCCTTAAATTAACCTTGTCCTCAAAGTTCAAAGTGTTAGATAGGATTATTCCTCCAAATCATACATATTCTAATTAGCATAATTAGTATTTTGTATATAGAAATAATGTATTTTTACTATATTTAGAGTGCAGTCGGTGGGTAGTCGGTACACTCTCGATCTTTGGAAGATTCTGTGGGTCGATTTCAAGTGTGTCGTGGAATTTTTTAGCCGCCTTCTCCTTCAGATCATCTGTTCCCGAAGTTAATCGCAAACTTCATTCTTGGGCTGATTCGGTGCGTGAGTTCAGGGTGTCGTTTCCAGCGTTTTCAGATTTGGGCTCTAGGATTTGATAAAATACCAGATTTGGGCTTATCTATTTTGGACAGGTAATATCTTGGATTAGGCTTTCAGTTGTTGGGATGGGTATTATTAGACTCTTGTGCTTAAATCATTTGGGCATTCTATTGGACTACATATAACATTTTGGACTTGGACACAATTTAATTGCATTACTACTTTATTGATTTGAGTAGTAAATTATTTGCTTGTTTTATCATGTCATGAGAAAATTCTATTATTCGTTTTAATGGAAAAAATTACTCGAGTTGGGTCAGGATGTCTGTGAAAGGAAAAGAATTATGGAGTCATTTAGATGGATCTTCTACGGTACCGACTGATGCCAAAGAACTTAATTTATGGGAAACCAAGTATGCTAAGATTGTTTCATGGCTACTGAGTTCTACTGAACCACATATGGTCAACAATCTTCGTTCTTTCACTACCGCTAAAGAAATGTGGGATTACCTCAAGCGTATTTACTATCAAGGCAACAGTGCTCGAAAGTTTCAATTGGAGTTGGAAATTGCTAACTACAATCAAGGTAATCTTTCTATTGATCAATTTTATGCTGGATTTCTTAATATGTGGAATGAATACTCTGGGATAGTTCATTCCAAAGTTCCCAAGGAAGCTTTAGCAGCACTTCAAGTTGTTCATGCTGAGAGTCAGAGAGATCAATTCTTGATGAAGTTGCGACCAGAATTTGAGACTGTGCGGGCTAATTTACTAAACCGTACTCCTATTCCTTCTTTAGATGTATGCTTAGGAGAATTACTAAGTGAGGAACGTCATCTTGCCACACAACTTGGGATGATTCCAGAAACTACTACTAAGATGGTTAATGTAGCGTACGCTGCTCAAGGGAAAGGAAAGCTCAAGACACAAGTACAGTGCTACAGTTGCAAAGAGTTTGGGCATGTTGCGAAAAATTGCAGCAAGAAATTCTGCAATTACTACAAAAAGAAAGGAAATATTATTAAAGACTGTCGAGTATGGCCGCAAATTAAACAAGATATGGCCTTTCACACTGCTATCCAGCCTAATTCATTCGCTACACCTCAAACTGGTTTTTCCACTAATCTTACACCTTTGATGGGCCAACGGATGATTGTTTCTGCTTTCACTGCTCTTGGTCTTCAAGGTAATAAAAATCTAATTATCTCTCCTTGGTTGGTTGATTCGACAGCATCCAATCATATGACAGGTAGTACAAAGGACTTGCATGGTATTCGTAAGTATGAGGGTAATCAACATATTCAAATAGCCAATGGCAATACTATTCCTATCAAAGCAATTGGAAATTTGGGATCTTCTTTCACCAATGTATTTGTGTCACCGAAATTTAATTTCTGCTGGACAGTTGGTAGATGACAATTGTGAAATTCATTTTAATCGTTCCGGTTGTTGTGTGCAAGATCAAGTATCGGGAAAAGTGATCGCGAAGGGGCTTAAAGTGGGACGTTTATTTCCTCTTCAGTTTTCGATTTTTGATTCATTTGCTTGTAATGCTATTGCTATTGATAATAATGTTTGGCATAAGAAATTGAGTCACGCCAATTCTAATGTCTTAGCTCATCTCATAAAAAATGGTTATTTGGGCAATAAAGATTCATTTTCTCATATGTCTACCGATTGTAGTTCTTGTAAGCTTGGTAAAAGCAAAAATTTACCTTTCCCATCACATGCTAATCGAGCTTTTACATGTCTTGAGATTATTCATACTGATGTGTGGGGTGTAAGTCCTGTGCCTTCTCATGCTCATTATAAATATTTCGTAACATTCATTGACGACTATAGTCGCTTCACTTGGATATATTTTCTTCGCTCTAAAGATGATGTGTTTTCCAGGTTCAAAAATTTTGTTGCATTTGTTGAGAACCAATTTTCCACTCATATTAAGATATTACGCTCTGATTCATAAGGAGAATACATGTCCTATGAATTTCAAGAATATCTCAAAACAAAAGGAATTCTTTGTTAGCGTTCCTATCCTTACACTCCCTAACAAAATGGGGTTGCTGAGCGTAAGAATCGTCATCTTTTAGGTGTTGTTAGTACTTTGTTGATTGAATCTTCCGTACCCCCTAATTTTGGGTAGAAGCTTTATCCACAGCTGTGTATTTGATTAATCGGGTTCCATATCCAAATTTAGAATTCGATTCTTTAGATCCTCATTTGTTCGGTGTTGCACCTAAGTATAATTCTCTTCACGTATTTGGCTATGTTTGCTTTGTTCACTTACCTTCCACCAAATGTCACAAGCTTACTGCACAGGCTGCTCGATGTGCATTTCTCGGGTATAGTAATATACAAAAAGGGTTTGTATATTATGATGCAGATACTAACAAGCTACGTGTCTCTCGAAATGTGATTTTCTTTGAAACTCAATATTTCTTCCAATCTCATGTTGATTCTCCTTTTACTTTTGTTCAACTACCTGAGTTTGATGATTTATCTTGTACTATTGAACGCTTTAAGCCCGAACTTGTGTACCAGAGACGTCCTCCATCGTCTCCACTGCCCCCTTCTAACACTGAGCCGATGCCTAATCCTGTCTTCATTGCACCTCGACGGTCTTCTCGAATTTCCCGACCTTCGGATAAGTATGGCTTATCGCATACTGCTCATCAAGCTACTCTTGATACTACTATTGTGCCCAAATCTTACTCTCGGGCTTCTAATCATGCGTGTTGGCGACAAGCTATGCAAGAAGAACTCCAAGCTCTTTAGGATAATCATACATGGAAAATCGTCTCGTGTGCTGATGGAATAAAGCATATTGGCTGCAAATGAGCATATGCCATTAAACATCGATCTGATGGTTCTGTAGAAAGGTATAAGGCTCGATTGTTGGCACTTGGAAATTGTCAAAAATATGGGCTTGATTATGATGAAACATTTGCGCCTGTGGCGAAGATGACTACTATGAGAACTATTATGAAAATCGCAGCGTCAAAAGAATGGTCTCTTCGACAAATGGACGTAAGGAACGCGTTCTTACATGGGGACTTGAAGGAGGAAATTTATATGAGTCCTCCCCCCAGTATGTTCACTCACTCTTCCGCTGAGGTATGTCGGTTGAAATGGTCTCTATATGAATTGAAGCAGGCCCCACGTGCATGGTTTAAAAAGTTTTGTACCACTCTACTTGATTTTCATTTTACTCAAAGCCAATTTGATTCCTCTCTATTTCTTAAGAAAACTACCTCTGGCATTGTTATGTTGTTAGTGTATGTGGATGATATTGTCATCTGATACACAGTTGATTGAGGAACTACAGCAGTATCTCAATACTACCTTTCATATGAAGGATCTTGGATCTCTTAAGTATTTTCTTGGTCTTGAGGTACATCCTTGTTCAAATGGTCTCCTTCTACATTAGCACAAATATACTCAAGAGATTCTTACTTCTGCTGGCCTTCAGTCAGGGAATTCTGTTCTTACACCACTAGAGGTCAATGTAAAACTTAGTTAGAATGAAGGGGAGCTTTTATCTGATCCATCTCTATATCTACGACTTGTAGGGAGCTTAAACTATTTGACGATTACTCGACCTGATATTTCATTTGCCGTGCAGCAGGTCAATCAATTTATGCGGAGTCCTCGTCAACCTCACTTAGCAGCTGTACGACGAATTCTTCGTTACCTCAAAGATACCTCTGGTCGTGGATTGTTTTTCTCTCCTGTCAACTCCTTATAGTTAATGGGTTATAGTGACGCTGATTGGACCGGGTGTGTAGATACTCGTCGTTCAGTTACCGGCTGGTGCATGTTTCTTGGAGATGCTCTTATTTCTTGGAAAAGTAAGAAGCAAGATAGAGTCTCAAAGTCCTCCACCGAATCTGAGTACCATGCCATGTCATCCGCCTGTTCAGAGATCGTTTGGCTTCGCAGTTTGTTAGGTGAACTTGGAATTTTCCAAATTACACCTATTCCTCTTCATGTTGATAATACCAATGCTATTCAAATTGCTGCAAATCCAGTATTTCATGAACGTACCAAACATATTGAAGTTGATTGTCATTATATTCGTGAAACCCTTGATCAGGAAGTGATTACACTTCCTCACATCTCCACCAAACATCAGACTGCTGATATTTTTACCAAAGCCTTTTCTCGCCACCGCCATCAAATGATAATTGACAAATTGATGCTTCTTGATCATCCAGCATCAATTTGAGGGGGATGTTAGATAGGATTATTCCTCCAAATCATACATATTCTAATTAGCATAATTAGTATTTTGTATATAGAAATAATGTACTTTTACTATATTTAGAGGGAGACAAATTGATGTAATTACCGGTATGTCAGCCATGTATCAAGCCACGATTTTCTATATATTGAAATGAAAATCCTCCAGCGAGAGGTAATTGAAATCAATTTAACACAAAGTTGGGATGTCTTCTTTGAATGTTGTTAGCAACAGCCTCATTCTCTTCATCACCCTTGGATTAAGCAAGAAGTGCAAGGTGGCATATGTCTGGTTCATATTATCTGCACTACTCTTTCCATCCTTAAACCAAACTGTTGGTCGGGTTGGAATTGGACTACCAAACTCCACTTTGGTTTTGGAGGTTGAAATCTCCTCTATATTCACCCCTTATACGGCTTCTACTCTCCTACCCATCAGACCCTAGTAGAGTTACCCCACTCCAAGATCTCATGTGTGTAACAAACCCTTCTACTCCTTTATTCTTTTGGTCTGCTTTCAAATCAGATGTCAATTGTGCCACCATATTCACTAGTTTCTCATATTTTAGGTTCATATCTAGAATTGTACTCTCCATTTTCTCATGTCTGTGCCCAAATACTTGTAGATTTTGCTCAGTGGAATCTAACTTCCTCTCCAGCCTATTGGTGACTGCCTTGAGTGCAGTTCCCAAATCAATTATTTCCAAATCAATTTTCTTCAGGTGATCATCAACCAATTTAGCTCTAGTATCCATGATTTCACTTACCCAGTTACTCGGCTGCTCTGATGCCAATTGTCATCAAACTTGGAAGAGCCAGATCCCTTAAGTTAGTCATTGAGGTTAGAGAACCCAAGCCTATATAAACCACATAAAGGAAGCCCATACTTCCGATGTGAGATTCATGTGTCCATACACCCCAATGGGAACCACGACAATAATATACTTCTCTTTTTTGCGGCCATTAAGCTACTAAGAATTGCACGTTACATTTTAGACTTAGACAAGAGATAAATGAATGGAAAAAGTGCATGTGAAGTACAATGCAGTGACAGATCATGAACTCGTGTTTAAACTTATCCTCCATCTCAACAACTAATTCAGTGAAAAATAGAAAAGGTAACAGGTAGAGATGCATAATAATAATCACAATGACAAAAACCACAGCAGTTGAGCCATGAAAACCTATGGAAACTAGACATGATCGGATACCTAAACCCAATGAAATCTCTTCAACTTACCAACATGGCAAAAGATGAGATAATCATCACTCCAGTCGTGACTGAATATTCTCCCGATGCCAATGGAAGATATGGCTTGTTTACCTGAGAAACACCAAAGAAATTTCTTATACTAGTAGACGCAAGAGATAGTAGGAAAAAAATGACAATTGAACAAGTTTTACATAATTTCCCTAGTATCAGATAGTTGTAAGTATCCCATACCTGATATCTATACCAAAAAAAATTTAGAACACTTAAAAAAGGTGATACAGTTGAAAAGCAGTGACAAAAACCAGATTTTACATAATATCCCCTCTTCAGTTCATAAGGGAAATAAACACATAATTACTAGTAATCTTCACCTAATCATCACATATGAACAGATGAACTCCATTACTCAGTGTAATGAAATGCAATACAAGAAAAGAATTAAATCTTGGTCGTCTAACCTATAAATTTTTGACAAGGGAAGTTTCTTTAAAAATATAAAACAGTAGTCCATTTTCACAAAGACTTCAATCTTTCATTTTAAGAGGACAGCCCATATCAGGGACAGAAGTAGCATAATTGGGGGGAATATATTACCTCATGGGCAAAGAACTCTATACTGCTAGTTCTGGTTAGATTCTAAATTGCACAAGCCTAGTAGATCCAAATACCTGCTGCCGTTAATTGTATAACTGTCATTTCAACCTCAGATCCTAGGTCTTATCTCAGATCATTGTCATTTTGACTCCTAAATTGGGTTATTGTGTAGTACTTGGCTTCAAAAATGAAAAACAAAATTCGTCATGTTTGACCTCACCCATTCTAAAAAGTTATGTGACAAGAATACTATATATCATCCACTTGAACAGGTTCAATAAATAAAAACAATCAACATTGTTCAACTTACATGCATGAAAAAAATAACTCATGTTCAGTAGGTAAGTTTGTTCTGCGCCAGAAATGCTAAAAGATATAATTTGAAAACTGTACTCTTCTAGTAATGTCAGAAAATCTTCAGAAAGAAGTATATTTATTGCTATTAAATTTTCCATTCACAGAACAATTTATAGATGACACATAATTTTCCTAGTTTCTTCATACACAGAGACAAACAACTACAATTATTTCACATACGAACCTTATCTATTTCAATGTCAGACAGCTGATTCAAACCGACTATGTATATGTTCATCAAAAGGGCCGCAGCAATGGCCTGCAATAATAAAAATATTCTTTTCATAAATATAGCATCAACCAACTTCACTTTCAATTTTAACTGACACAAACTTTTCCATACCTCTATCACCCCAGTGACAAATAATGGAGAAATATCGGAGAGATTTTCTACTGCAAGGAGAGAAACTGAAATTATGCTCAATGCCTGCACAAAAAAGAATTGCAGCATGTTTTCCTTTCTTCAGAAAAATCCACAGAAAAAAAAAGTGTAAAACCATACAAATCTATAACTTTGCTCAAGAAAAAAATACAACTGACTAGAATATTGAACCTAACTGTTCCTATTACTGTGTGGGGCCGTGAAAACCTGTAGAAAGCATCTAATGCATGTTGAATTGATCTCCCACGGCTCTTGGAAGGTTCGGATTCAAGATTGTGTTCAGAAGTTGCACTCACTAGATACTTTGATCTGCATCTTGGACTTAATGCAACTATTCTTTCACTATTATTTCTAACAAACTGCTGCATTGCAAGCTGCCTGTGCAACTGTAGTCTCATCGGTATGGCATAGCTATTTTCTGGGTTGTTCAACGCTTTGCACTTACAATATTGCGCTTCTACACGAGAACCTATATTTTTTTGACATATTGAGCATTAAAAGGATTGATTTCAAGAGTCCATTCCAGTAACAAACATGTATCTGTCAATTACTCAAATATTATGTACATAAATTTACAGAACATATGCATAGCACGAAATGATTAAAATTTAATGACACGAGAAAATTGAATAATAAAATGAACATGAACATACAGAAACATTAGCAGACATTCACATGAGCCAACGGTAAAAGCCCAGAATAAAAAACAGAAAAGTTTAAAATCTTACATTCTTTCAGAGAAATAAATAAAACCCATGTAGTATTGTGTAACATAAACTCGGTGAAAAACCTTTAATCAGAGAAAAATAAGGCATGCATTACAGATTAAAGCCCAAAACTTATAAGAATTGTTGTTGGGTGTGTAGCGCATAGATACACACGTACCAGTGAAGAGTGAATATGGTTCAGCAGTGGCAGGAAATTGAAGTGAAGATGGAGGCTTCTGAAAAGAGCAAACAAGCAAAGACTCCATTTTTTCCTTAATCTCTCAGAAACCCAAGAAACAGCTCGACGGCTCTACCTCTCTCACACACACAACGCCCCGTTTTATTTGGGGACGAAATCTGAAACTGTCTATTTCTCTCTGTAACAAAAGGTAGACAAAGAAAATGTCCATGTGAAAGATGTGAATTTTGAAGCCGTAACAAGATTCACCATTATCGTTGACCAGTGTTGCGCGCCAATGCGAGGTGGACAAGGCGCCAAGCAAAGGCTGGACGCGAGGCGAGTTAAGGCTTCAATGCGCGTCTAGGCGCGCATTATTAGGTTTTTTTTTTCTTTTTTTTTTTTCCTTTTTTTTTTAAATTAAAATTTATAATTATTAAATAATTTTTAATTATGAAATAATTTTTTATTAATTAAAATTTTGAAATAATATTTAAATAAAAAACATTTTTTTAAGCATTTGCCTCGCCTAATTTCGCATTGTCCTTAGCTTAACATCAATGAATCGTTACGCATTACGTTTTTTTAAAACATTGTTATTGATCATGAAGTAAAATTGAGATTAAGGCCCTGCTTGGTAGCACTGGTGCAGAGATATTTTTGGTGAGGAAGCTCCCAGGGATTAAATTTATAATATATAAAATTTTACTGAGTTGTAGATGCACAAGAAAAAGAGGGTCCAACAAAGAATGAGAACGAAGAGAGAACAGAAGAAATTTTCGTATTTTACTGATATATCAAAATCCCATATGATATTACGAGATTAAAATTTTTTAAATAGAATTATAGATAATAGTTCTAAAAAATAAAAACTTTTCACAATTTTTGCTTTCAATTTCAAATCCATAATTCCCACGTTACCTTACTAGACACGGACCGTTTATTTGTTTCTTTGCCAACGTTGACTACTTTTCGATGGCAACATCGCTTTACGTGTGGCCTTAAACGCTTTCTATACTTCTATTGAGTTAATTTATCAATGGTCATTGAAGTTTCTGTAAGTTTCCACGTTGGTCATTAAAAAAAATTTCTTGCCTATTTAGTTAATAATGTTTATAATAATTTCACTATTGATTACACGATTAGTGGAAATAATGTATAATCTAATGTGTCGTTCCTTAAGTGACAAACTAAACCATGCACCATTAAGCCCCGTTTAGTTCCCATTTCATCCAAAAAATGCATTCTTTCTACCAACGTGGGTCCCACATGATGACATCTATTTTTGAATTAACTTGTACAAATTGTCTCAAAATACCCCCATTTGTCTTCAACAACCACCCTTTTTTGACTTTTCCACCTCTCATAATTGTTGCTCACTTTAGAGGATAGTAATGGAATTGGGAAATAAAATATTGTTGTAGACTATAACATATCCGTGAATTGTCAGTTGAAAGGATTGGCAACGGGTGAATTTTTTGTAAAATGAGAGTGCAAAATGGGTAACAAACAGGGGCTAATTCATCTGTCAAACTCAATTAGTTGGGGGGGGGGGGGGCAGAGGGGTGGAATCCATAGACTATAAGGTTAGGGTTAAATAAAAGATAGATTTGCAAACTTTTGTTTTTTCAATAACTAGTAATTTACGAAGACGATCGTTAGTTTCAATAACTAAATTTTCTACTATCACATTGTGACTTCAAATATTGATAAACTCGAAAAATCAATAAAAATGATATAAGAAAAGACATGACATAAAAGATTCTTTCCCATGTGCCCCACTTAAGACGGGGCACAATGGGAACCCGACCACACAAGACGGGCCAAGGAATTGTTGCCCCAAACCCAACCACCATTTGCAGCCAATATATTAGGGGTTATTTGTGCCAATTCTATTTAGCATATTTAACCATGTTCAAATTTCAAGAGTATAATAGCAATATTTTAATCTTAATTTTCTTTCTAAATTTTGTCACATGCGACTTAACATTCCTTGCCAATACATGGCAACATGCGTTTGCCCCACATAGAGAGGTCTGTTCCTCAAAATTGAAAAGACGTTTGGTCTCGTCATGTGCCAAGTTATCATGTACAGCAATCGATAGTGATCTTGTAGGGTTAAGTTTTCATGTGAAGATTGACTTACTTACACATCAAAATATTGCTGCCAAAAGTAGGACAATACAATAGAAAAACCCAACCAAATTACATGCACACACGAGACTTGGAGATCGAGGCACCTTATCAGTAAATCAATCCCAAGTCAAAAGGTCGATAGGCTCCCGTCAATCTTGGAAAAGAAAATTGAACCCTGTTGGGTGATAATTAAGTCAAAGTTAATAATTAATTTTAACCACATATTCCATAGAATCCAACATTTATCAAAATTTACTAAAAATCTGATTTTAATCCCCACTAGAGGCTAGATTTTCCATAGAAGAAATGCATGCAACCGCAACCGCACCCGCACAATACAAAAATGTAACTTGCACATAGTTTGAAAATTCTCCTTAGCTCACGAGTATCCAACATTAAATTATTTCGAGAAATATATAGCACGTTGGACGTGCCAATACCAACATACGCATCGCAGTAATGAAATCAAAACACAAACAAATAATTTTCACAAAAATAAAAAATAAAAAGAATCACAGAAACTCGCACAATATACAAATTAACTGCAACAACATTAGCCCCATAATATTGATCACGCAAGATATTAAGCCGAGTAAGATGATGAAACATTAGACGACCAATTTAGCCAAGGGTAAATTATATACCTAATAAACTCTTACAGGCATCCCAACATGTGATTTTTTGTTTTTTGTGATTTTCCCAAATCTCGACTTATAGAACATGGAAGACAACAATGCGACCGTACATGATGGAAACAAACCAATATATATGATTACCTACATTTCTACTAAGTACAAACAGCCTCAGGAGGAGCAAACATAACAAATTTCATACATAACTCACAAAACTAAACTGGGATCACGCCATGAGCTCAAGTATTCCCAAGAGCCTTAACAAGGAAACGAATTTAGGAACAGCTGCTGGCTGGATCGTAAACCATATTACAACAGTACATGTTAAGCAAGACCAGATTGGGAGGGACAATCTCTGCGAATTATTTACTCAGGATCAGTTACTTTCTTCAGCCTCCAACTGAAAAAAAAAAATATGATTATGTGCCAAATTTCAGAATCTTCCAATTTTTTCCTTTTAGATTAGATGACAGCTTGCTAAAGAGAGTTCATGAAGTTCACTCAGCATCCATTCTTCCCCGGTTTGACCTCCAAGGACTATGGCCCTCGTGCCTCCAACAACGCACGTGCTATGTCCCCAGGCAAATCTTGGAGGCCGTCCTGGTACATTTAGTATTCTCCACATTGGCTTTTCTTCAGTAGGATCAAGTATATATACCTGGGATGCAGAGTGAAGACCAGCCACAGAGCCACCAAATATGAGGATTCTACCACCAGGGAGGCTCACAGCCACGTGATCAAGTCGAGGGGGCGGAGCTATGCCTCCTGGATTTCCAGCTCCAGGCATCCCACTTCCAGTTACAGATCTCCAACATGGTTCATCCTCACTCAGATCCATAGTAAACACGTCGCTAGACCGAAACCGCAGAGGACCACTTTTGGCAAGACCCCCAAACATCAAAATTTTTCTACCACCATAAACAGACAGCGTGTGGCCCAAACGAGAAGGTGGAGTCCACGATACCGGTATCTCTCGCCACACTGGTTTCTCCATTGAAAGATCGAGCAGGAAAGTGTCACTCAGAAGCACCCCAGAATCTGCACAACCGCCAGAGACTATCAGCTTCGTCCCATCCAGGGTGCAGGAGCTATGCCAAGATCTAGGAAGTGGAGGAGCCAAACTAGAGATTTCCCGCCACGTAGGGTGTTTGGCATCCAAATCCAACACAAAAACATCATTGAGTAAGCCTTGCCTCCCACAGCCTCCAAACAAAACAAGATGAGATCCATTGACACAAGAAAGTGTATGACCCCAACGCCCGGGAGGTGGAGAGCCCACTATGACATGTTGCCACTCTGGATTGCTGGAGTTCAGATCCAGCACAAAGGTATCATTCATGGGTTGCATGTTAACGCCCTCCCCCCCAAACAGAACCACACGATTCCCGACAGCACACGCACTGAAGTTGCAGCGAGAGGGTTCAACGATACCTCCAACAGTTAGCTTGCTCCATGCTGCTGCTTCAAGTGTGGTAATCTCTCTTGCCAATCTACCCCATCCTAATCGTTTAGCACCAGGCACCGTCTCTAATACTCGAGTTGTTTCACTACCCCATGCATTCTGGCAGACCATTCGCCAAAGATCTTCATTCTTTGTAAGGTCATAAAGCTGCCGACAAACAGAGCTAACAGATGCAATATCTCTTGGAGTCAACCGTGAAAGAATCTTCAGAACAAGGACTTCATCACTTAACTGCATTAATGCACAAACAACACAACTAGAATTATGGTTCACATTCGATGCTATTCCATGAGGAGAAGAATTAAATCTTAATTTCTGCGAAGTTTGGGTAAATTTCTTTGTTAAAGATCCCGGAAGTGGACCCAGATCAAGATTCGCATCTGCAAAGTACTGTACGCCAAGGATATGTGTTATTGTATCATCGTCACCATATATCGGGGTCATTCGCAATCTATTCATCAATGGGGATCCATCTTTTCTAAAATTTAACAATTCGCCTTGAAACTCAATTCCTTCCTCAAGGCATCTTCTTATTTCAGCTACTACTGTGGGATCCACCAGTGGATGCCTTCGCTTAGCAAATGGACCTCTGCATTGCAGAAAACGACTGCGAAAAAATTCAACATAGTCAGATATCAGTGATATATCATGCTTATCAGCATTCAACCACATAAAATATAGTCAGTTCTCAGCAGCTCTGACTGCATTGAAAGAAACAACAGATAAATGATAAAGAATCCACTTGTCATAAAACACGCACAGTTCTTAGCAGCTCGAACTGCAGTGAAGGTAACTGATGTAGAATTAATTGAAAACACTCAACCTATAATTAAATCATAGGCAGAAAACAGCAGACAAGGAATTCCAGCAAGAAGAAGAGCAGAGGAAGCAGAACAACAGCAAAGAAGGAGAGGAGGAAGGGAAGAAGCAACGACTGAAGGAAGGGAGAGGGGAGGAGGAGAAATCAGGGAGAAGGGGAAAACTTACAATCCAAGCATATCATTCATTTCATTCAATCATCATCCCCAAATTACACAAAAAAACCAAGTATAAATAGCAAGGCAATAAACCTAGAGCATAAGGGCTTGGGCCAAGTCCAATACATAAAACATAAACAAGAGTCCAAAACATAACATATATAGGTGATGTCCTCATCAGTAACAACAGAAATTAATAGACTCCACTGAACTTTCTATTTGGTTACGAAGATCCAAACTGTTGCAGAGATAATTATAAAGTAACTTTGATATTTGACCCTATATTTTGCTATCAACGATTCAGCAATGGCATAAAGACCAGGTGCAGTGCCTATAATTGGTTGCGAAGAGCCAAACTGTTGCCGATATAATTATAAAGTAAAATTTGATATCTGGCCATATGTTTTGCCATCTTCGATTCAGCAATGGCATGATCAAGACTCTTAACATTATATGCCAGCAAGTTTCTATTTACCATGCACCATATATAAAATTTAACACATAATTGAGTTTGCCCACAACATTATCTTTAAGGAAAAATGTGTTATCCTCATTTCAAAGGAAAATATCGTACTTTCCGCATTGTTTCCAAGAATTTATGCTAAGAATATAAACATTGTTCATCTTGTTTTCTGGGCAGATAACAGAACTGATTTCAACTCAATTTCTAGCTAATTTTTGGTGTTCTCTTAAGCTTCATTGCTATATCTTCAACTAAAAAGAGCTTGAACAATCAAACAATATTTTCTCCAAAGAAAAATTTGAGCTTCTGTTGCTACATACCTTAATAAAACATCTCCAAGAAGGGCTATAAACCTTTGTATACTCTACACCGTACTGATCTCTGAAACTATCTGCCTGACTTACTTTTATTTGACTCTACACTTGTCTTAATCATGCAACTAAGAATAGAACTGATCTGAAGTCAATTTCTAGCCAATTTTTGTGTTTCCTTAAGCTTCTTGATTATATTTCTACCCTACCTTCAGTTTTCATATATCCACAATTTCTCCCTATCCCAAGGTCCGAAAAAGGAAAAAAAAAAACTTCAAATCTATTCCCACCTTGTCCACCTTCAGTTTTCATACATCCACAATTCTTCTCCGCTATCCCAAAGTCAGAAAAAGAAGAAAAACTTCAGATCTAGTCCCACCTTGTCCAACAAATTGTCAAAAGGCACATGCTCAAAATTCATGCCTAAAATCCTGGATGTTTTTTAGATTTCCATTATATTCAATTCTTTACATATATCATAGTACGTTCACAGACAACTTGCCCCTTTTCTAAAGACACAAAATTTAGTTAAGATTAAAATCTAGTCAAGTGTCACACTCAAAGTAGGCTAGAACTACAACAAAAACCAGCCTATTACAAACTATCTTGGAAATGCGCAATTCTATATACCCACAGAAAAAATGTAAAAGGCAAAATTCCAATGAAGAACTGACCAGTTATGACCAAGAACTTCCGCTGAGCAGTATCCAGTAACCATATCAAACATGAAATTTACATAAATAATGGGATGCTCAGGCTCCAAAGCGTGACAGCAAACATGCAAGGAGCCAGCTGCAGAAGTGTGTCCATGTGAAACGTCCGCCCTTCCTCAACCAAAAACCCAACCCTTCTCCTGCCCCCTCTTCCTTACCGCTCAGATCAGACTCCGAGTCACTGTTCCACTCCATCCAACTTTATCAAAAATATGAAACCAAATTTCCCCAACTCTTCACCTCGTAACGAATGGCAATGAATTGATGAAAACAACAGGAAAAGTTGGGTATCAATTCTTAAATTATCAGTTTCAGACTGCAATCACTCAATTGTAATCCCCTTGACAAGATAGCAACAAAAACAATAACTTTGAAGCTCAATTTGTGGGTTTTAGGGTTTTCACTTTTGGGAAATTAATGATAGGCAAAAACAAGAGGGACCAATCAAGACAGGAAAAGGGGAACAAAGTTACAAAACCTTTTTTTTTTTTTTTTGGGGGGGGGGGGGGGGGGGTTCAAAAAGTTAATTTCTAGATGCCATCTGAATATATATGGATATGTATATAGATGAAAAAACAAAAATATCTGTGGCTGAAGAAACGATATGTGGGGTTGGGGTGTGTGGGTTGATGTGGAGTGGAGATAACGCTGGCAGGACGACTGCTTTGTTGTTTAATTTAAACACTCCTCATAACTCTCAATGTTATACATCAGCAAGTTGCCAATTTACTATACACCATATGTCAAAGTTTGCTGTAAAATTTAACACATAATTAAGTTTTCCCGCTACATTACTTTCATGAAAACTTTGTAAGCCTAATTTCATAGGCAAATATCACCTTTTCCACATTGTTTCCAACATCCAGCTATATAAACATCGTTCACCATGTTCTCTGGTGAGATAACAGAACCAATTTCAACTCAATTTCTAAATAATTCCTAGTGCTCTCTCTTCAGACTTCATTACTCTATCTTCGACTCAAAAGAGCTTGAATTGTGAACAGGATTCTGTCCACATAAAATTTTAAGCTTCTGTTGCTACATTCTTCAAGAAGGGCTATAAAACTATGGATACAAAACTGTATTGATATCTGAAACTATCTGCCTAACCGAACTTCATTTCATTCTTTATACTTGTCTTGACCATGCAACTAAGAATAGGACTGATTTCAATTCAATTTCTACCAATTTCTCATGTTTTTTTAAGGCTCCAGGTTACATCTCCAACCCACCTTCAGTTTTCACGCATCCACAATTCTTCCCTATCCCCAGAACAGAGAAAGAAGAATAATTTCAATTCTACTCCCACCGTGTCCGCTAAACTGTGGAAGGCACAAGCTCAAATTCATGCAAAAAATCTAGAGGTTTTGTAGACATTCATTATTAAATTATTAAATTATATCATATTACGTTCACAGTCCCCTTGCCCCCTTTTTAAGGACAGGAAACTTATTGAAAATATAATCTAGTCAGTAGTCACGTTTCACACTCGAAGTAGGCTAAAACTACAACAAAACTTCACTATTTCAAACTATCTTGGAAATACACAATGCTATATACCCAGAAAAAAGAGAAAGGCAAACAAAACTCCAACGAAAAACTGACCAGTTAAGACCAAGAATTTCCTCTGCGCGATATCCAGTAGCCATCTCGAACACGGAATTTACATAAATAATGGGATTGCCAGGCTCCAAAGCATCCGTGACGACAAACCCGCAAGGAGCCGGCTGCAGAACTGTGTCCAGGGGAAACGGCAGTTCACCTGGACCGCTCTTCCTCAACCAAAAACCAAACCCTTCTCCTGCATCCTCCTCCTCCGCACTGCTCAGATCAGACTCCAAGTCGCTGTCCCACTCCATCCAACTTTATAAAACAATATCAAACCAAATTTTGCAAATCTTCACCCCATAACAAAAGGCAACGAAAATTGATAAAAACAACACTAAAAGTCGGGATTTGAATGCTTAATTTATCACTTCCAGACAATCAATTGTAACCCCCTTGACAAGATTACAATAACAACAATAACTTGCAATTTCTAATTGTGGGTTTTAAGGTTTTTACCATTGGAAAATGAATGACGGGCAAAAACAAGAAGGACTAATCAAGAGAAAAAGCGGAGCCAATAAAGTTACTTTCTATATGCCGTCTGATGATAAATGTATTGTCTATATAGTCCGTACCTACACCGCCTTGATGAAAATTTGAGATGAAAACCCAAAAAATATCTGCGGCTGAAGAAATGGCTTGTGGAGGTTGGGGGGGGATGGAGATGGCGCTGGCGTAAAAAATCGTTTGGAAATTAGGTTGTACCTTTTGCTTTGTTTGTTGTGCCGTGTCCGTTTAATGTCGTACCTCGTGATGTTTCGGCATGTAAACATGGTTAAGGTCCATTTGGATGAATTATTTTGAGGTGATGCACGTGTAACTAACATCCTTGAATTTTAAATTGAATTCTAATACATGTGAGATTTAGCCCTTTTTTAGCTCCATTAAAATGAATTTTTAAAATAGTAATTTTTTTAGAGAATGTGTAATAAAAAAGTAAGAAAAATTTTAAATTCACGTATAATTTATTTTTTTTAATAAAAGTGATTGAAAACGAGTTTTTAAAAATATGCAACTTCAATTCCAGTCACACATTTCATGAAATTCATATTTTTTAAAACTTTTTTACTACACTTTCATCAGTATAGACCAATTGTTTACCTATCGATCGTGCTCCTCATTCAATTCAATACCAACAAACAATCAAGCAATCTCTGTATTTATGCTAAGCAATCAACAATAGTCGAACACTTCAATACATCGTGTTACTCTTAAAACTTAAAGAGACGTTACGCCAAATTGATAAAAACAAACCATGATCTTTACACATATTTTCAGTATGATCCTTTGGCCATTTCTTTGACAAAATTGCACCAATGTGCCGACTCTTATTCCAATTTTTAGTAAATTAGTATACAGCCACTAAGACGAACGTTTTGATCCCGAACCACCTCAGCAATATTGCACAAGTAGTCCACGCAAGTTAATTATAGAAAAACAAGTACATCCTTATTAATGCTAAATTAACGACACCAGCCAAACTAGATTTATAAAAAACACGAGATTGAATCGATGCTTAACAACGTCAAAATTTTAGGTGTGTTTAAAAATTTGCAAAACTCTATATATGATGATTATTAATTATTTTATACATGATAAAATAATTCTTTTATTACACTAATTAACCAAATACTCGTACTTTAAGATCAGCTAAACATTAAAATTTTAATGTATTTTTCTTTCTTTTACTTTCAAGCAAATACTATCCAATAAAATAATATTACACGTAAATTCAAAATCTTTTTAAAACTTTTTTACTACACTTTCATCAGTATAGACCAATTGTTTACCTATCGATCGTGCTCCTCATTCAATTCAATACCAACAAACAATCAAGCAATTTCCATATTTATGCTAAGCAATCAACAATAGTCGAACAGTTCAATACATCGTGTTACTCTTAAAACTTAAAGAGACGTTCGTGACTTCTAGACGTTACACCAAATTGATAAAAACAAACGATGATCTTTACACATATTTTCAGTATGATCTTTTGGCCATTTCTTTGACAATATTGCACCAATGTGCCGACTCTCATTCCAATTTTTAGTAAAATAGTATCCGGCTACTAAGACGAACATTTTGATCCCGAACCACCTCAGCAATATTGCACAAGTAGTCCACGCAAGTTAATTATAGAAAAACAAGTACATCCTTATTAATGCTAAATTAACGACACCAACCAAACTAGATTTATAAAAAACACGAGATTGAATCGATACTTAACAACGTCAAAATTTTAGGTGTGTTTAAAAATTTGCAAAACTCTATATATGATGATTATTAATTATTTTAGACATGATAAAATAATTCTTTTATTACACTAATTAACCAAATACTTTAAGATCAGCTAACCATTAAAATTTTAATGTATTTTTCTTTCTTTTACTTTCAAGCAAATACTATCCAATAAAATAATATTACACGTAAATTCAAAATCTGTCATTCTTTTTGAACCCCACATTCTTCAAAGATCAATATTCTAAAATATATTTTCCCAAAAATTGATTTTAATGGAGCCCAAACAAGGGCTAAATTCACGTCATGGTTTTGGTTTGTTATACCACATTTAGCCCCTGTTTATTTCTCATTTTTTCCTCATTAAAATGAAAAATATGATCGTTATTCATCATATCAAACCACCAAATTTAAATTTCTTTCTCTTGTGTGGGGCCTATAATGACTATATTTTTCATTCTGATTTTTACAAAAATAAAAAACAAACGCCCCCTTAAATTTTAATTAAGGTCTTCAATTTTATTCATTATAACACTAGTGTCTTCAACTCTTTATTTAATTTATTTCCATTTTTTATTTAACTTTTCATTAATTAATATATCTTGCTCATTATAATGATTCCATCCAAAAAAATAATAATTAGAAGTGCCTATTATTTTGTCCCTTGTATTTTAAATAAGTAAAAAATAAATATAATAATCCAACAAAATATTTGCCTCTCATTCAAACCAAGATAATTGAATATTTGGTTAGAAACCATCACCTATGATAAGGTGTGTTAATTAATTGAAGGTTATGAATATAAATACAACGAAAAAAAGTTGGGAACATAAGTGCGATAATAAGCAAAGATTGAAAACTTCTTCAATTAAAGTGTGACGTAACAAACAAAAAGTGAATGTGTATGGATGAAGTCCATGCAAACAAGCCGGTGCATTGCACCACTAGCACTCAATCACTAAACAATTATTGAAGATTGAAAACTTCTTCAATTAAAGTGTGACGTAACAAACAAAAAGTGAATGTGTATGGATGAAGTCCATGCAAACAAGCCGGTGCATTGCACCACTAGCACTCAATCACTAAACAATTATTGAAGATTGAAAACTTCTTCAATTAAAGTGTGACGCAACAAACAAAAAGTGAAGGTGTATGGATGAATGTGCATTGCACCACTAGCACTCAATAACTAAACAGTCAAGGGCCCGTCTGCTAATGTTTCTATTTCTATTTTTAAAATTATTGTAGCATGCTCGAAGTCGAACAAGAAGTAGACATTCAATTTTTTTGTATGCTCACAAATAAAAATAATTTTAAGGGTTGGAAGACCTCTATCTTGTCTTCCATTATATTTTTTTGGCATCACTTTATTTATTATTATTTTTTTTATTTATTTTTTTGAAAAAAACAAAGGAAAATTGGATTTTATTGAATGTTATCTCCTATTTTTGCTTTCGTGTATCCTAACATCAAAGTGGTATCTAGAGAAAATGTAGTAAAAAAAATACTCACAGTATCATGTAAAATGCCTTGAAAAATTCTCGAAATAGACCAAATATTTTCTATTTAAATCATACAAAAGTTAATATTAATTATTTTAGACATGATAAAATAATTCTTTTATTACACTAATTAACCAAATACTTTAAGATCAGCTAACCATTAAAATTTTAATGTATTTTTCTTTCTTTTACTTTCAAGCAAATACTATCCAATAAAATAATATTACACGTAAATTCAAAATCTGTCATTCTTTTTGAACCCCACATTCTTCAAAGATCAATATTCTAAAATATATTTTCCCAAAAATTGATTTTAATGGAGCCCAAACAAGGGCTAAATTCACGTCATGGTTTTGGTTTGTTATACCACATTTAGCCCCTGTTTATTTCTCATTTTTTCCTCATTAAAATGAAAAATATGATCGTTATTCATCATATCAAACCACCAAATTTAAATTTCTTTCTCTTGTGTGGGGCCTATAATGACTATATTTTTCATTCTGATTTTTACAAAAATAAAAAACAAACGCCCCCTTAAATTTTAATTAAGGTCTTCAATTTTATTCATTATAACACTAGTGTCTTCAACTCTTTATTTAATTTATTTCCATTTTTTATTTAACTTTTCATTAATTAATATATCTTGCTCATTATAATGATTCCATCCAAAAAAATAATAATTAGAAGTGCCTATTATTTTGTCCCTTGTATTTTAAATAAGTAAAAAATAAATATAATAATCCAACAAAATATTTGCCTCTCATTCAAACCAAGATAATTGAATATTTGGTTAGAAACCATCACCTATGATAAGGTGTGTTAATTAATTGAAGGTTATGAATATAAATACAACGAAAAAAAGTTGGGAACATAAGTGCGATAATAAGCAAAGATTGAAAACTTCTTCAATTAAAGTGTGACGTAACAAACAAAAAGTGAATGTGTATGGATGAAGTCCATGCAAACAAGCCGGTGCATTGCACCACTAGCACTCAATCACTAAACAATTATTGAAGATTGAAAACTTCTTCAATTAAAGTGTGACGCAACAAACAAAAAGTGAAGGTGTATGGATGAATGTGCATTGCACCACTAGCACTCAATAACTAAACAGTCAAGGGCCCGTCTGCTAATGTTTCTATTTCTATTTTTAAAATTATTGTAGCATGCTCGAAGTCGAACAAGAAGTAGACATTCAATTTTTTTGTATGCTCACAAATAAAAATAATTTTAAGGGTTGGAAGACCTCTATCTTGTCTTCCATTATATTTTTTTGGCATCACTTTATTTATTATTATTATTTTTATTTATTTTTTTGAAAAAAACAAAGGAAAATTGGATTTTATTGAATGTTATCTCCTATTTTTGCTTTCGTGTATCCTAACATCAAAGTGGTATCTAGAGAAAATGTAGTAAAAAAAATACTCACAGTATCATGTAAAATGCCTTGAAAAATTCTCGAAATAGACCAAATATTTTCTATTTAAATCATACAAAAGTTAACCAAAAATGAATGGATTAAAAGGCAGAGGATGAAATTTTATCAATTTTGAATTGATTTATTATCAAATACATAAAAGTTGTAACTTAAAATTCGATTTTTACTATTGAATTCATAAGAATTGTAGCTTAAATTTTTTATTTTTATATATGGCATGAATTAGTATCTTTAATAGAAATGTAAGAGTATTGTAACAAAATAATATAGAATATGAGAACAAAAGTATCTACTGAATATTTCTCATATATCTACCCATTTTATATATGGTACATTATATATATATTTTTTTTATTAACGATTAAAAAAAAACTATCTTGTAAAATGACCTCCTTTCTTTATTTCACGATTATACCTAATTTTTTCTTTTAAAAAAAAAAACACACACACACACACACACACACACACATATATATATATATATATATATATATATATATATATAACAGGAAATGCCCTTAAAAGTGATT